GGTCTTCGGGCTCGCCCACGGGCAGCGGGTGGTTTTCCGCGAGGGACGCGGGGGGGGGCGGCGCGCCATCGTCGTCGGCTCGCGAGGGGGGGAGTTGTGGGTAGTCGAGGAGGGCGAAACCTGCGCCCGGCGGGTCGCCCTCCCTTACCACACAAACAGCCCCGAGGACGACGAAATGGCCCTTTCTTCGCCCTCCGCCTCCGTCCTAGGGCGGCTCACGCGCTACTATGGCATGGAGATGGAGGATCCCGCCATGCCCTTCTCATCCCGGGCGGCGGACGGGACGCAAGAGGAGAGCCACTTCTCCCCCTCGACGGTTTTTTCGCCCGAGGTGATGGCCGAGGTGGAGCGGAGGGCCCGACAATTGTACACGGACGAGCAGCGGGGGTTTCTCCAGCGCGCGCCGGACCTCTTCGTCAGTCTGGAGGATATCCAGGACGAGGTGCCCGAGATGCACTCCACACCACCGGCGGAAGGGGACGAGGATGAGGATCGATCAAATTTGCATTTCTACGATAGCTCAGAGAACTTGGAGGAGCAAAATACAGGTTTTCCGGACGGCGCCGCTCTTGCCTCATCGGGCTTTACAAACAATTCTCAAGGTTCATCATCCTCACCATCATTTTATCAGATGGCGACGAGCTGCTTCCCCACGTTTATACTGCTCTCGCCGAGGGTGTTAATCCCGAGCGGAACGGTGGGTTGGGCGGGCGAGGGAATGATCTTTGTTAACGGCGGCGGCGTGCACCGCGCACAAGCCACCATGTCAGCCTCCGTTGCGGTATGAAAAGCTTAAAGTGCATTAGAGGTTATCCTTTTCTGGAATAAAAAAATAGGATTTTATTTTTGTATGATGTGCAATTTATCATCTGTCGTTGCTATTATGCTTCTCTCATAAATTACAGATTTTTTACGTAAATCCAATGAGTGAGTTAGATTTGATGATATAAGTTGAACAGGTTAAAATCTCAAAAAAAAAAGTGAGGATAACTAGAGAAAATGCTTCTTTTTTTTCGATATAAAAAAGACCTTATGGATTTACTTCTCCTTTCACAGTCATTTTTGGTCTTTTCAAATATAAATGTTTTCCTATTACATATAGTACATATTTTAATTAGCCTGATTCCAAAAAAATAAAAGTCTATGAAACGACTTAGTAGGCATCTATTCGTACTTATTTTATTCCTTTCAATAGTTTTGACTGTGCCTTTTCTGCATATTTTGTCTCTTCATATCTTTGATACAAATAGTGTTTATGAAGATGTCACGCATGAGCAAGGAGTAGAGCCGTGGAGTTATGTGCAGAATTTTACTCATGAACTTTCCATGCTAACTGGGAGGCGTGAAAAAAAACTGATGCGATTATACAAATTGCATCCTTCTTTTCCTGGATGGAGTAGCGTCATTGACGACCGAACCCTTATTGACTTGGATTACTACACCTCGCTCAATATCCGGTGTCTCTCTGGCGCAAATCATCGTGCGGCTCTGGAACGAATTAACCAAAACATTAAAATGGATTCTTTAAAAGTTAAAGAAGAGATCAACAACTCATCCAATTCAGATAACATCTATCCAGTGATGGGAAACGAAGAAGTCAAAGTTTCACCCAATGACAGGCACTCAACCCAGCCCGGTCGTCAATGGCAGTCGTTTGATTCGCCGACGTTGAAGCGGGTGGAGCCCCTCCCACGGGGCGCCCCTCTTCGTTCGCCTGACGCGCAGACGCGCCTGGATCGTGAGGACCTCGCTGCGATCCACCCTTCGCTTCGCAAAAAAGTTAAACAAAATGCGATCCAATATTTCGATATCCCACGACGTCGCGCCACGCAGGCCCCAACCTACCGCTGGAACTCATTCTACATCGCGATTAACCTTTATAACAACGAAGACGTGCTGCCCTTCCTGACCGAGGCCTTAGTAGCCTTTCTGGAGGACGAACTCGCCCCGTTTTTTGATATCCGCACCTCGGTGGTGGTAGTGATTTACGCCAGCATATCGGAGGATCTGACGGGATCGCTAATTCAGTCCTTGCTCATTCCGTATTTGCAAAAAGTCGGCGTCGAGGTGATCTTCGCGAGTGTGAGTGGGTCCTGTCAGGGCTACGTGAAGCGGCAGTTTATGCACGAGCGCATCGAATGGCTGCAGTGTGTGCGAAACAAGGCGATGGAGCCACTGCGCGAGTTCGGCATGAGGATCTTTCCGAAAACGAACCCCACGAAAGCCGCCGAGGACTCTGGCGATGCGGGAGGGCCGGGGTTGGGTCCTTGGGCGATCGATCTGGACGACGCCCTGGGCAAGCCCAGCGGGGATTCCCCTGACGAGGAGGATTTGGTGGTGTTATTTCTAAACGACATCTTCTTTCGCCCGAATGATCTCACCCGATTGCTGGCAACGAAGCCGGAAGCGAAGATGGCGGGGCAAATCCCCCGCGAGGACCCCCCCCCAACGACCTCCGGCCGATCCAATTCCCGCGATGTTGGCCCTTCGTTTGATATGGCGTGCGGGATGGACTTTTATATTTTCTTTTACGACACCTGGGTCTCGCGGGACCACCTCGGGCGGCCTTTTTTGCCCTACATGCCCTACTCCGAGGACCCCACGACGCGTCAGGCGATAGGCCGCGTGCTGTCGGGCCGGGGGGAGGAGGGGGTCCTCGTGAAATGCTGCTGGAATGGGGTCGCGGCGATTCGCGGGCGGCTTTTTCTCCCTTTACGCGAGGAAGGGGACCACAACGGGTCCGAAACGCCCCAAGGCGACCCCAAAAATAAAGAAAAAGAGGAGAGGGAAGGCGACCTTCC